ACTCACACTGCATCCACAGAGACACCCAGCCCAGGAAGAATGACGCTCCTCTGATCACTTGATTTATTTACTCGCAATAGCTCACGTCACCCCCCCTTTCCACATGCACATACACGCATACACTCCCTTCGATTTCTCCTGCCAGCGGCAAAGGTAGTACTTGTGTTGTTCAAGATTATTGCTCTGCAAGGGTGTACTCAAACATGCAAAGCTGTTATTCCGACCGAAGCAGGGTAATTTTGACCGAGCATGATGGTAAAGATGGTGAAATTAAATCTGAAATTTCGAGCACAGCATGATTTCTAGTGTTAACATCACACACTGTGGGCAATGACACATTGGGGTCAAGAAATCTGTCAGAGAGAAAAAAAAAATTTTCCTGTTAATGAACATTGGTACATGTGTGTAAGTGCTGAGTGAATCTAGTGTAAATTATTCAATCACCAAATTTTAAAGGGATTAAACAACTTTTGGCATCAATTTGGATGAAACTGAGCTACCGTACTAGCACCGTGTATTCACAGGAGGTACCTTCATAAACAAAGGCTCACAATTCAAGACATCCACATAGAATACTCGTAAATGTTTATAATTGTGAGCCTGAACAGTTACACTAAATCATTGATTGAGAATGTTATCACATGCTCAATTTAAATTGCACGGCTTCGTCTCTTGAGCATGTTTTATTGCCAGGGTCTGTAAACAACAATTGCAGTAGCTCATCTCATTTTTGGATTTTAAAACTAAAGCAAACAGGGCATTCTACACGTACACCTGCCAAACATGTATATGTACTTGTATATGTACTAAGTCAACTCCCTCCCCCCCCATAGATCTATGCAAATGTACCGTTTATGCATGTAAGGCCTTTGAAACTTGAAACAGTAAAAATCTTTGCATGATTGTTGAATAGAAACAGCCACTAACATGCAGAAGAGCAGTGGCTATCATGCACTCTCAATTTGCAATTTACAAACACTGCATGTCCAGTCACTCCTTGTTGCAACGTACATGTACATGTACATGTTTGCATATTAATGTGACTGCACAACCAACCACCCACGTCTGCCAAAACCACAAATTGATTCTTGAACCACAGGGATTTTAAAAAATAAATAAATACATGTACAAATTATCGTAATTATTTACCACAAATTTAAATTAAAATGGCCACACACAATGAGGTTGGGGAAAAGTCACCTGTGCAGACAAGTCGTAAATTCTTGATAAATGGTACATGTACATGTATGAATGTATGTAAGTACACTGTAGTAATTAGATGCATACCAGTAAATGTACATGTATGTACTTTTACTTCAGTCTACACGTATGCTTGTAAGAAGTGGAACTGGAAGTGTACACATGTACATGTAGATTTGTAAAATATGTACCGGTACAGTACCAGTGTGTACAGAGTACAGTATTTATTTTTCATTGTTTCATTTTGGGATACACTTACACAGACATTCTATTCACAGAAGATACATATACATGTAAATGCAAACATTAAAAATAAAACATAAAGGACACAATATCTAATCAGCTCCCGCTGGATTGCTCAAAAGAAACATACCGGTAGTTTCTTTTTAACTGGTCAAGTAGGCAACAGGAAATTCATGTACATGTAATTAAAATCTGAAAAATTATAAATGCAAAAATTTAAGGAAATAAAACAATATTAACGTACGTGTAACATAACACAAAAATACATAACATTAATAAAATTATTTCAATTAGTAATGATATGAATAAAACAAAATTTGAAAGTAGATTAAAATGAGCGTCTTCAGTGTACATGTACATGAAGTTGAATTATGAGCCGTGTGTTTTACTCCTCCAATCATATACCAAAAAAAAACATAAACAGCATGTACTGTACATGTATGTAAGAATGACACTGCATGTACCAGGGTACTGGTTCCCACACGGTAGTTGTGAGGACATACACTCAATATTTTACCCACTCTGCGAGGACCGAAAACGTTGTGGGACTCAGAAATGTCCCCACAACTCGGTTCAAATTTCCCAAACAAAAGAACTTTTCCCCTGAATGCCGTGAATGCCTACCTACATGTACATGTACCAGTACATGTACCGGTATGTATAAAATGTATGAGTGCTGAGCTACCACAAGCTTGTATAGTGTTGAACTGTAGGCATTAGAAAATCAACACACATGTATATGTACATCTGTACATGTACATGTATACATGCAATGAATCACAAAACTGTTAGTGAATATAGTTTCGACCTGATTTGCAACATGTACAGTATGCTATCAAGTCTTTTACTGTGTATAATGTACGGTACATATATGTACATGTAAGTTACGGTATTTGAAAATGCTGTATTCATAGTATTACTATATTCTGTGAATGTACCAGTAGATTGGTGACGTCAATAGCCGGAGATGGAAAATGCAAAATAAAAACTTGTTTCTGCATTGTCAACAGAATACTGAATATTCAGCTGTCGTTTTTGTACCTTACACAAGGTGATAGTACACGTACATTGTATAACATGATTCGATATCTCTGAAGGACTTTTTAAGGGTTTTTCAAAACAGCAAAAAATTACATGTACGGTAAATACACTGCAAATAAGAACAAAAGATTAATTATTATTCACAGACATACCGATATGTTTTATTCGGCAATATCGAATAATTATGTAAATACACATAATAAATTGTCTGTTTCAACAGACAGGATTTTTTATAATGGCGTGGACGGTAAGGGGTAGATCGTGCATCTTGAATCATTTAAAGGAAGTCAATATGTACAACATTACATGTACTGGTACATGTACTGTACATGTATACATGTACATGTACGTAATCTGCAAAGCTGATGTGCCCTGAATGATGGATAATTGCTCTTCAATGTCAACCTATGCTCTATTTTTGGATTGACTTCCTGAGAAAGGCGGATGCAAAATGCATCCAAAACATCTTTGAAAGCAATTAATGAAAACATTTAAAATATCTTACATGTTCATCCACACACACACACATAGGCCTAAATGCACATACACTACACAAACTGTGTTCCTGTGAATTAAGAAAATCACTGATGAAGTAGAAAAACGAACTGGAAAAGAAACAGTACACTAGACTGTAAACCAACTATAACCAATGCATGTCCTAATAAAATATGATATTTTTTCAAAAATGCCCCGAATGGCAAACAAATTATTTTGCCTTTTTATCTCAACACTTGGATTCACAAAAGGGTCTGTTGAGTTACATGTACATGTACCAGAACACTAGATACATGTACATGTACATCACAAATTCATGAAGTCAGAAACCACCAGTAATCAATTGAGTGCCAGAGGTTTGAAGGGACTTAATTACTCATGGAGGTATGTACAAAGAATCTGTGAATAGTATGCATAAATTACCCATGGAATGAAGAAGACTGAGGTACATGTGCATGTACTGTATGTGTAGTTAATACCAACTGTGATGTGCTGATTACAGTAGAGACACTGCCAAAAAAGTCTTTGGCCTCCAAAGTCACTGGATTTAATAACTGTCAAGGAAAACCAATCCAATACAAAGCCTGCGTCGTCTTATTTGCATATCAGATGGACAACCTAGTGTTGGCTGAGGGGGTAATCTGTGGTACTGTAGGAAATGGTGACATTAAAGATGCTAATCGAGTCTCAGAACACTGCCTCTGAGGTCAGGTCCATCATGATAAAAATCAATACAGGCCTAATCCTCCCAGCATTCCAGCTACTGTCATTCCCTTCAATTAGCACCTGAAACTTTTTTTCCTTGGAATAGTTATCAAATCAATAGAAGATCACAGAAATGGAATTTCAAAAGGTGATGCACAAGCCAAGAAGACAAAACAATTGGAAGAAACAATTTAACTTCATATTTAATTAATCTGATGTTCAAATACTGTCACCACTGCCTGCAAACAAGGTCCCTCACGTAGACGTGCATGCTTGGAACCGATGATTTTCCACTTCAAAAATTCATTTTTGTTGTGTGGTTTTAAAAACTAAACACTGACTAAAAGTGTTTCACAGTTCTTCACTGAGAGGATGAAAACTGAAGGTGGACAAACAAAGTTGGTGAAGAATGAAGGAAAACGGTGAATATGTACGGATTTGCTTACCACAGAATAGACATGTCGCAAAAGCAGAATTTACATAAAAAGGTACAATAATTTAGATTGATTTAATCCAGTCAACCTACACTGTACCCCATAGTTCTTAGGGTGAGATCCACCAACATGAATCACACCTAAAAAATAATTAGAAAGGGTACATGAAACATACATGTACATGTACTCATAGTATAGAGAACCATGATTAAATCAAGGCATTGTTCAAACCTAAAATGAAATACTGCTTGACAATTACAATATTCCAGTTATTGACACAGTTATTGAACCAATCCAGTTATTGAACGGTACGAATGAGTTCCATCATGGAGTGTTTTATTTCTCCATGGATATACAGACGCCACTTGATACCCATATTTTTGCTTTTTGATGGCTAGTATGTCAGTGTATGGAATAATTACTAGCATCCGTATGTGGAACTCTTCCCAACAAGAACGGGAGACATGGTTAAATGAATTGGTTACTGGTTTATAATTTTTCAATCACAATATAAAAAAAATTAATAAAAACTGAAAAGTTGGCCACTCATGCCTGTTGGTCAACCAGTACCAGAAATGGCAGTATAGCCTAGGCCTAGATTATTGCCTTCATGTACATGTACGTACAGCACAAACACAACACTACATCTACAATCGAAACATGGCCATGTCTACTGTGGATATTAATTAGCACCACTGACCGTCACCTTATCTCGTACATTTGGTGCACACGTTCAGCACACGGAGAGCGGTGACGTGTAGCAATTTTTGACAGCTTGCCGACCAACATTCTAAAGCCTAGGTTTCACTTAACACGAATCAAACATCTAAAATAAATCCAGAAACCACAAGTCACTTAAAGGGAAAAATAAGTCTAACTTACCAACTGGCATCACATCTGGAGGGGGAGTAACCCTCCAAAGCCAAAATTAAAAATCCCAAGCACAAGAACGGGAGACATGTTTTTCCGACGGGCCAAATGAGCTCGACCGCAGAGTTCACCATTGATTTTGATAAAAATCCCTAACCAACGATTGGCTGTCAACTGACTTGACCACCCTCCCTCTGGAAAGTAATTCCGGTCTTATCCGAATGTTCCTTTATTTTCATAAAATAAGATCATACCTTCAAAAAAGGGTATAGTTGAAACTATAAAGATATACGTACACAAATTTAACAATTATTTTACCACATTGCAGCTTTCCCTAATCAGAGTACTATTTGTGTCATTTTCTTCGTAGACTGAACAAATGGTGGAAGAATAAACGGTGGCTATCACGTGATGGCTCTAAATTTAGCCATTACGCCCATACTAAATTTACAATTCCACGCGCTGAAGTAGACTTGAGTTCAGTCTGCCAGTACAAAGAAGAGTGCTCTATGCCAAACATGTACAACCCGCTCCGAGGGGAGCAAAAGAGGGCGTGTTTTTGGTACTCACCACTCACCATTGATCTGCATTATATATAATGGAGATCAATGGTACTCACCACATAACGTGCATTGGCGCGTTATGAGGCGCGCAAGTATCTGCGCGTTTGAGCAGTGCAAAATGGGACCGAAATAGCACCGCCTGTTGACTCTCGTGAAGAGGTTGGCCTCCGTTTTTCACTAGAAATTCAAGATTATGGCCAGAAGATCACTTTTCGTTTCATGGGGGTTAGCCACGATTTTTTAAAAAATTCTCCTTTGAACGAAGATACCCCCAAAATAGCAATAAAACTAAGCGCTCATTTCTGAATACAGCCGCCCGCCTCTATCCAAAATAAGTCCGCAATTTGAGGCTTTTCGTGAAAGAAATACCCCAAACTGGAAACTATCAATCCTAAATTCGGAATTTATAGAAATATTTCTATGATGCCTCCTGATTGTGGCCTGTCTTATTGTAAAAATCCCTTGGGGTCACACAATATTAATGAGCTCGCGTGCAGAAATACAACCATTGGGTGGAACGCACCCTGGCCTTGACGCTGAGTACGCGTAACTAATTTATCGACAAGAATATAATATCAAATCAGTGCTCTGAAATGTGTGATTGCCAAGCTTCAGTTAATTTATTCCGACTTGTACAGTCTTTACGTACACGCAGAACGCGTGCAAGAACAAATAGTTGAGTGGAACCACGGAGGAATAAAACAGTGAACCTACTGCCAATAGACAAACAAGTATCTACAGTTGACTACTGCAGACAAAATTAATCAACATGGACCTAACTACTTTTATCCGGGGAGCCCACGATTAGTATACACTGGGCACGACACACCCGTTTGAGGGATTTGTTTGCAGTACTAAGAGGAAGAACCCGCTTCAAGTTGTAACCACCTGTCTTTCTTTCCCCGATTGGGGGTGCACTTCGGCCCCGTACAATACTATGTGCGTACATTGCAGGGACTTAACTCAAGTCTAACTCCGAACGTAAGCAGGTTCCTTGGTGGCGCTATTGCAAAAATTCACAGAGCTCCGGCCGGCTCAAAGCAAAAAAATCATTGCGTGTAATGATCTCCATGGCATTTCCTGGGGACGCGTTGGACGTGAATGTTCAAGGCTTTGCCAGAAAGAGCAGTAAACTAAGAATATATATAACTGATGATACAACTTTATGCTAGGACATAGCCACTATCATGACTATGTCCCTCACTACGACCTGCGCGTGATAACCACTGAGGAGATGTTTGCGCAGTGTGGAATCAGATCCAGGGGAAAATTCGGCAAGATACGGCGAATGTCCTCATATAGCATGATGAACCATAGAACTCCAGCTATAAAATGTGCAGGTGCCTCGCCCCTGCATTAATGTTGGGATCTGGGGTTTCCCCGGTGAGATAATTACTTTTGATGCGAATATGAACGAGATCAACGCCTGAGTATGAGCGTCCCTTGCCGTGCGCAGACTAAATTATCTCTAAGCCACGCCCTTCCACCGGAAGTTGCTTACATTGTATTACATTTTGGCGGGACCTGATAAGTTTTTGGGCTTTTCTCAGTGACAGTTCCCACGCTTGAGACCTGCACCTTGGTGGACTGGCAGTCACAGCAACATGGCTCCTTGTGGGATAACCTTAGCCCTAAATTTCCGTTGGCTTTAGAGTTCATACCAATTTGGGCAAACTAATAGACGTCAGGGTAAGAGAGTTTATGATCGTACAGAAACATTTTGTAGTGTGATTTATCATGGACATAGCGAATGTAACGTTTATTACGATGTACATGTAAGCCATCACTTAATAATAGTATGTCCTCTGTCTTTCTTTAGGGTCTTTTTTCCTTGGATTCTTTTTGGTTACAATTTCATTGCTGATTGACACCTGGGAATAAATCGAAGGGAATCAAGCCACAGGCGCCTCGAGTCCATTTTTTGCCTGGTTTTGCACCTCCTATCCTTCTTAATTGGCGGACGGATCTCCACCCTCCAGACAACTGCAGAAGGACTGGACCAATACATTAAAATCAAGGGATATCTGCCCTTGGAATTATTTTTTTCACTCCTCTCTTTCTTCCCAATTATTGTGGCGCCGCGCCCCTCCGACGAAGGTGAGGGCGTCGTCCTCCTCGAGGCGCGCGTCGGACGGCACGCTGGAGAGTCCCTGAGCGGCTAGGGACGAGTCTGTTGGGACCGAAGTATACCGTCCCCCAAGAAAGTTGGTCTTAGTCGAAATGATGGCTAACTTAATGACGTAACCCGGACAGACCTGACTTGAAATAAACCTCGCCTGGACACCTGACTTATATACAACAATTAATAAGCGGCTGATGTACTATGTATGCGTCATATCAACACACTCATCCAATATACCAATAGAGGGCGGTATTGACGGAGAGACTGTGTGATTATACGTGACACCACAATTAATTGTGGGCATCCAGTGCCGAATCAGGGACTTAAGCAAGTCTACGGGGCTTATTGTCAGGGCTGCGATACACGCAACTCACGTAACGAGATAGCAATCCGCCCTTACGGGTCCAGTCCACAAATTCAAGCCCCATTGAAAACAGTGTAAAATCAGCACCGTTCAGGGCCCAATAGCATGCACACCAACATCCCTGAGATTTCTGAAACACAAATTAGATTCTTGTCTGGTCACTTATCTTTCAATTC